TTTTTTTTTTTTTTTTTTGTAATGGCAACATACATTTTATTTTGGTTCCTAATGTATTTTTTTTGATTCACAACAGAATTCATATTTACGGAAGGGCGGGGAAAACCAAACTCAAACAATGACTACGCTGTAAATACCAACGCCTTTAAAAACAGAAGGTTTCATCTCATTTGACAAGAGAATAATATGCAACATTAGGTCCATATTGGTCAACATTCCAACTCCATAAGGTAACATCATCTGATTATTTTATTTAAAAAAAGGAAAATGCAATTGAATAAAGATGTTTATGATGTGGAGCTCAAAAAAGGATTCTGAAATTGTTCTGTATCAGAAAAACATTTTATTTAGGAGTTCTTTTTAACTCTATTTTTTAATAGATTTGTGTGTCTTCTTGAAACAGACTAGCCTTCTAAAGATGATTTTGTTACAGAATATAAATCTTCCTGTGATATTTTGGTTTGTAATTAGATTTCTCTCTGTGTCAGTAATCATTCCACGTTTTTATAATAAACAACTGGGTAGACAGCCATAATTATGAACATCCAGGTCCACTTGTAAAGGAAAAGGGACCCTGACAAAAACAGTTGCTCTGAAACCCTCAATATCTTGCAGACTGCAGAGAACTTCCAGAAGAACAGCAAAGAATACCTAGGGTATGGATAAGCACACACGATGGCTCTATTTCCTTAATACATACTGATAGACCAGCCCTAATACTTATCAAATGTCCTATACACAATGGAAATGAGAATGTAGCTAATGTAAGTTATCAAATTTAATGGTAACTCAAGCACCAATAGTGTTGATGGTAAAAGAAAAAAAAAAAGACATCAGAAAAGTCCTTGATTATCAAAGAACATTCCATACCTCTTACATATGCATCTAAGAAGAATTTTTCACAACTGATTCATTCTGTTAAGATTATAAACACAGCTTTACAATAAAATCTACTTGTTGAGAGAAAAGAATTCATATTAGTTAAAAAAGTTATAGTACCTGAAAATTAGGAGGAATAATAATTTTGCCAGCAGGAACCTGTAGAACAATCTTCTCTCCTTCAAATAGCCAGAGGTCCCATTTGGACTGATTGATAAGCAGGGCCCAGGGCAGAAGTTCTATCAACAAGGTTCTAACATATGGCTTCCAGACTGACAGCTTCACTCGCATTGGGCTATCCCACTGACTTAGCTGTTCATTCCTGTTCCAAATACCACATCCAAGAAACTCAATGAAATATGATAACTTTAATATTTGCAAAATATGTTTAAAGATTCCAGACACACAACGCTCCTGCATGATACCTCTTCATATCAGAATCTTTCAATGCTGAATTTGCATGCAGGAGAAAGCAACTTTTCATATAATTAAGTTCTAGATCATGAGTAAAGAAATCTACAAAATACACCTACCAGATGATAAAAGGTAAGAATCTGACAGACACATGCACACACCACTTTTGGTATTTAGCATTTTTGTGAATGATCATTTGTTACTATTGAGACATTTTTGTAGAAAAAGATGGTTGAAGAATGTTACCTTTCAGAATCCTTCTTATTATAGGGCCAGATGGGTTGAAGTGACTTTTCTGGCCCATAAAATTCATCAAGGATCTGATTAACTGTGCCTTCAGGGTATACCTTAGTGGCTATTTGCTTAATGAGGGATGTTGAGATGGGAACCGCACAATCTGAAGGATCATATTCTTCTCTAGGAAATTGAAAGAAGAAACAAGCATAAATACCAGATTTCTAAAGTGGTCTACAATTTATTGAAAAATATTTAACT